TATATATATATATATATATATATATATATTTGGCCTTGAAAAGAGAGAAAGCGAAAATGTCGAGTGCAAAAAGTGCAAGCAACGCAAACAGACCTTTTGAAATCTACCAATCATCCATAAGTCCGGATCTACAATAGATGTTTTAAACCTTAAGCCGTAAGAAATTAATCAACTATAATCAAAGAAGGAAAATAATTAATTGTAATTCCATTTCTTATAGCTTAAGGCTTAAAGTAAATAATAATAAATAAACACACAGAGTGGTTTGATTCTTACTTTGTCCTTTATTTATTGTTATTTATTTTGTATAGAAAGGGTCCTTCAATCTGTTAAATGTTAAGGCTTAAAAATCTATTGTAGATCCGGGATTAAGCAGCCATTTTTAATAAATAGAAAGGAAGCGTTTATATTATCGTAACCATATGCCATAATTTATAAGAATTGATTAATCACAGTCGAGTATTCCCCTCCCATACGACAAGAAGGGAATACTCAAAAGTGGTTGATCAATTTTTACAGATAACGACATACGGACTGTGGTCAAAATCTCGTTATAAATGCTTTGAAGTGTTTGATGAATTAGAAGAAAGAATTTTACAAACTGACCAATTAAAAACGCTTCAAAGCGTTTGTAACATTGCGTTGACTATATCTACGGTTACGGCCAATATAAACGCTCTTAAGTAAGTTCATGATTAGCATATTAACTAATTACATGATCAATCAAAACACTTAATATCAGTCGCGCTTCTCTTATAAATATAAAATTCTAGTCTAACTGCGCCATTCTCTGAGCAATTAAGCCTGCGGCACAATGCCTGTTTTTTTGCTGGGTTGTCAGCTGGATTAGTATTTTGCTACCGTATTGACTGTGATGCTGACACTGAAAGTATCGCAATCAATACGGTGGCAAGATTCTAATCCAGATAGCAATCCAGCAGGAAAATAAGCATCGTGTGCCGCAGGCTTAATATAATAAACTCTTTTTACCGAAACCGTATTTAACATCCGTATGCGAAAAATCCGGCGTTTAAGGCCAGTAGCATATAGAAAAAAACGTAAACAGTAAGCAAGTCAACATTTTTTATTTGCTATGTTATTGCCTTATTGCTTGTTTGTGATTAATCGATTTACTTACAGTTTACGTTATTCTAAATATAAAAATGGCCTAAAAATACTGATTCTAGACGACTTCGAACAAACTCTGATTATTATATATAGTTATAAATTCTGTGACTTAGACTACATGCATGCATTACTAAAGACTGTTATATACGAATTAATTAATGAAGTTAAATAATATTCTTGAAGCTTCCAGAGAGGAGTGCTTTCTATATAAAAGTTATGCGTTTCCTCCGTGTCCAGATCCATTCTTTGAATGCCGCGAAACGCATAACTTTTATATAGAAAGCACCCCTGGAAGCTTCAAGAATATTATTTAACTTCATTAATTAACGTATAACTTTTATAATGAAGTTAAATATAAGAGTATGTAAATACTGTTAAATGATTAAAAATCTAATAATAATAATATTACAGAATATATGCACATATATTATTTTATTATCAAAGTTAATTATACTATATGCTGTTGCATATAATATGTTGATTATTTATACATATGTATAAATATATATATATATATATGTTATTATATACTAATTGTATTATATGCTGTTGCATTTAGATAGTTTATATTTAGTAGCCTTTAATATGCATTAATCCAATATGATGTAAGAATTTTCAGCGTAATCCGAATTTACTATAATTCAATCGACGATTAATTTTACCATAGATTATGTAAAGCGAAATTTGTAATTATACAATTCATTATGAGAAGTTTCATTTCATCATAAAGATAAATCTTAAGAGTGGAGCGATACAATGTGCCTTCCAACAAATGAAACAAATGATATGGTGTGACACAATGGATCATTACATCCCTGTTGTTTGCCAGTGTTAAACAAAAATGACATGATCATTGTCGCACTCTTTCGCTTGTTGAAAGACACATATCGATAGTGCATAATCTGTCCATCACAGTGGGAATATCACGTTGATGAATCGTTATCTAGATGCTTGAATTAATTCTCGCTGTTGACCGGCAGAGTTTTATACTATTTCACATGCCGAAAGTGGCTACTAATGTATATGAAAGTACTGTCAATAGGCTTTAATAATCAGCATTTGATCGGATGCAATGAACACAATTTTTTATCACAAGAAATCTTCAATTTTTAATCTCAAGAAATCTGCTGCTGAAAGTCATCATTTGCTAGTGGAGGCTTATGGGGAGCATATCTGTAACAACTTGCAGATATTGGTTTAGAAGATTTAAAAACAACGATTTTAATGTGAATAATAAAGAGCGCCCTGATCAGCCGAAAAAGTTTGCTTCGAACACCTCTAACAAAAATTAGTGCGATGCTTTTTCACTTTTATCATCTTACCGTACATGAAAATAAAGTTGGCTAGTGATTAAAGTGCCTAAATTATTTCAGTAGACATTTAACTATAATGGATTGTTCGTCAAACAAAACACATTGCATGAAAGGGATACCACCACATGATAAATCATGACATGATTCTGAGGGACATTAACGCAGTTCAAGCACTTTACTCGGCACGCCATTATACCTCACATAGAAGATTATCATCTTATCCCGGGCATTTTATTTCAGTAGTCATCAAAGCATGTTACTGGAAAATGCTTCACAAAGGAGTTGTTCACTTCGTCAAGCTGCGTCAGCATTACTGGATCCCTTGCGGCAAACTAACTAATAAGCACTACATTCAGTGTCTTACATCTAAGGGCGTTTGACATCTTCGCAAACATTAAACTGCTGCAGTCATAGGATCATGCATTGCCTCTGGAAAGAAACTCCATATAGTACACATGGAGTGCATTATGCAAGTTGAAGAATCACTAAGAATTCGACTACTAGGCTCGCAAGGTTTTTGTGTACCTCTCCATTGGAACTGTCCACGTCAAGATCAATTAGAACACTGAGACATTCCTGGCTGTCTTTTGGAAATTAATATTGCATACAGGTTACGCTACATCGTCCAAAGGATCCATGGTACCAATATGTAGACTATTGACGGTGTGCTAATAAAATCAGATTATTGACACATTGATCAATGAAAATGTGCAATGAAAATTCATCAATCTATTAATTGCACCTTGGAAGGATCTGAGAGACCATCATGGAATCGATGAAGCATCACTCTGGCGATCTATTAGAGACACGACTGTTACCTTCGAGGAAACATCAATTATTTTTACATAAGTGAAGACGTGTCTCAATCACTGCAGACTGTCTGACGTTTCCAAGGATTTGTTCATGCTAAGACACTTTTCAATTGGTATCACATTAATTAGCGTCATGCCAGAACCATTACAATCAATTTTGAGACTGATAGTTTAAGAAATATTTGCACATACCTCATTTTCAAGAGGATGATCTCTGCAAGATTAACAAGTTTTTGTGCTGATTTTATACAAAAGATGCGTGATTATTCGAACTAGTTTGATTGCAAAAAATTAAAGTTAAGTCGTATTTGTTTTATATATATATGTAAATAGTCATTGAACTTGTATTAAAGATTTTTTGTAAATTTTTTTTTCCGCAATACTAAGCTCACATTAATCTCACCCGAATACATTTACACTTCCATACTCCAAAACAATAGTTGAATATTTTTGTTAGAATAGATAAGTAGATAGAATAGAATAGATATGAACTTGAAGAGACAGATCGTCTTGATAATATAGTTGTTGATATAATTCAAACATTCCTAAAAACGATGTTCTGTGATTCACGACGTGGTAAAACTTGGTTGACTGATGTGAACGATGTTTAGTCATTTAAAGTAATGAAATTTGTGATCAATCATAAATTGACCTCAAATTTTTTAAGTCAATATAAAGCCGCTATTAAAAATTTGCTATTAATAAGAAATGCATCTCAAATTATATTCTTACATCATGATTTATCCCTTTCATTAGAGAAATGTGATATCGACATTGTGTCCATGCGTCTTACCATACCTGATAAACAAGAGTACAAAGATAGATAAAGAAATAAAGCGGACATATTAGGATTATATGAATATATCCTATAATATAGGATCATATGATTATATAATATATATTTAAACAAATAAGTTTAATTTAAAATGTAAACCGGTTGTCCCATAAATGATCTATTAATTATCTATTGTGTGTTCATTGGAATGAATTGATATTTTCGATGATTCTTTTCATGAAATGTGAATATAAATAAAGATCTTTATTTTGTATTTTAGAGATTTACTGAGTAAATGCTCGTAGTCTAAGGATGTTCAATTAATAAAACTATTTTACGTCTGATGGTATGATTTGAATGCCAATTATTATAAAGTCACATTTAAGTTTCAACAATTTTCAAGATAAGTGCACTAAATGAAATGCTCATGGAAACGCTAATCTGCAAAAAAGCGTGCGCGTTGTTAATCATTTTATTTTATTAACAATGATTGTGTATAAGTTGGTCATCCGAATGAAATATGATATAATAAAAATATGATATTATATGTAATAGTCCGAACAACGAGTTGGTAATCTTAGAAATTAGCTATTGTACCAACTCTACCTATTCAATGATTTCGACCAATTTTGACTCACCGATTATCTTTCAGATTCACTGTCGACTCATCGATTACAGACTATCGACTCATTGTAGATTCGAACTTAAATATAGATTTCAGTCTATACGTGATATAACATAATGTAATATTAATTAATATTAATATAAATGTAATTTTTATACATATTTTAAATATAAATGTGAAAGTTTGAATGTTAAAAATCACTATTTTTTTTTGCTTTTGTGTTACCGTTATCTTTTATTGAATCCTTTCTTTCAACGATATTATCTTATAAATTCTTACGATAATTATATGTAGACTTATCTGTAAAGCAGGAAATTATGCATATAATAATAAAATGATTATTGCCGGCAAATTTATTTTAAAATTTATACATGATGTGCTACATTAACTCACATTTATTAGAAACTACCTTCAAATCGAAGATATAATAATGAAAAAATAATGTATAGAAATAAACTATAGATAGAGTATGATCACGAACGCGCTTAACCCATATTCATCTATACGAGATACAAAAAAGAATTAAGTCGATTACTCTTAGCTCTGATCCATTGCGTTTGCTTCATTAACGTTACTGCCGGTACAGTCCTTTTGTATTATTTCGAAGAGTGGCATCAGTTCTGACGTGGCTTTTATCTGTACGACAAATTCGCTCAACGATGGGTTTTTATCTATGAATACAAACGTCAAATAATAATGACTGTTATAAATTTCACATTGTATGTAAATTGAAATAATTTTTAGTTATAATTTAATTCTTTTATTCAGTTTCCAACATTTTAAATAAATTTTTTAAATACATATATTATTTAAATTAGTTCAACTTTAAAACAATCCTATTTACCTGCATCAGGAATAGTTAACAACGCTGCGACAGCTCTCAGCGCAGAACGTTTCAATTCGTCTTGTTTCTCATACTCCTGTTTCACCGAATTCGCCTTTACTTTCATTGTACAAGTACTCTTCAGTGGGTCGACTAATCGCTCCAACCCTACGTATCAAATGTTACAGAGTCAAAAATAAAATATTAAATATTTTAAAATAGGAAAAATGTGTTACAGAATTCTTCACGTAATTTTTCAGAATTTCAAAAATGTAAATTAAAAAATATATACAGGTGTCCTAGAATTTTGACTATTTTTATATCCATATAGAATGAACTAAACTGAATCGAAAAATCCTCTATAATTTTTCAATTTTTGCAGTAATTAACGAGTTATTAATTATTAAAAATCGTCATATTAGCCTGGCAAGCGAATGAGCAAGAAAGCGAGAGAAAATATCTAAGAATAAAAATATAGGCAAAAGTCGGATACTTTTAGGACAGACCTCATATACAGGATGTTAGAAAAAGCATTTAGCATTTATATGATAGATAGTGCATACTGTATTGAGTAACGAAACTTTAGTGAGCATGAGTCGAAATCTCAACCATTTCTGATATAAATAATTTTGTTCTGTCAAAATTGTTTATAATTTTATAATTTTTTGATAAACTTAGATGTTTTTATAATACGAACTTTCAATAATGCTGAGAAAGTGTATATTTGTTCTAAAATTCTTTATATGTGAATTCTGAAATATTCTAAGATTTTTCATTCTAAGATTTTCGAAGAAAATTTATAAAATGTAAAGAAGTTTTAGGAATTTTCCTAAATTTAAAATATAAAAAATTATTTTTAATATGAAAAATTTTTTTCACTAGTGCAATACAAATGAATATAATAAATTATGCGTAATATACTCACTTTGCAAGACAGCAGTCGGACACAATTGTGCGAGTCGCGCAGTCATAAGATAAGTCAACATCTTGATATCGTAGTGATCTCTAAGACCATTTTCCACATGATTTAGAAACTCAAAAACATCCAGCCTATCGAGACACGAATCCAACAAGGTGTACATGCACTCAAACGCTGCCTTACGAAGATCCAATCCATCGTCTACTGTATGTTTAAAAGGACCCATCTCGACTTCTCTGATAAGTTCTTTCTGTAAGACGGAAAATTTATTATATTGCAACACGGTCTCGGTAATAATAAACAATCCTGTTGGCTCAGATTGAGAATGAGTTTTCTCTTGTCACTAACCTTGATTTTAGTTTCTGTGTAAAGATGCGGTAATACCACGTCTAAGAGATCCCTTATCAGCATAGGTTTATTGTGTGCAGCAGAATTAAATGCGACTAACGCTACCCTACGTACATTAAGATCAGGGTCTTCCAAAGCAACCAAAAAATTACCCATACATTGCTTTAACATGGTATCGATTGGTTGTGGCTGTGAATATGTACATATTAAACTATATATATTTATTACAGTGATGGATAGTTTGGTGATAAAGTACTTGTTTATCAAGTAAAAGATTTGTTTAATATTCAGTTTTGCAATTTCGCATATAATAGAAAAAATTTCAAGTGAAAGAATATATTATTCAAACATAAAAAAGAAAAGATAAAAAAAGACAAAAATAAATCTAAGATAATAAGCAAACTAGATAGTGATTTATTCTTTAAAGAACTGACAATTCAAATATCAAAGAAGAAACAGACATATAATCATATGTTTGATTAAAATAAAGTACCTGATCAGAAATGGTAAATTTAACCGCCGTAACTGTTGTTGTTCTCATAAGAGCTGATGGTGATTTAAGCGATTCTTGCAGTCTTGGTAACAGAGTCGCTGGATCAATTAATGTTAGTTTACCAAGACATTCGGCTACAACATTACGAGTACCTTCTTCCGTGCATTCGCAATGCCTATATAAGAGCATCCAAATTGAAGGCACGAAATTTTGTAAGTGTGACACGCCAGATGGACTAGCTGATTGACTTGTAATAATCTACAAAAAAGAAATAATATTTTAAAAATGATTTTATATTTTGATAATACTCAGATTAGAATAAAGATTATAATTTAACGAACGTTACCTCCTTCAACGAATGCAAAAGCAGGTATTGACGCTTGGGTTGCGCCTCAATCTCCTGAAGAATGAAAGGCAGGTATTCAGGAAGATTCCCAATTGCAATATTTCCTAGTGTGTAACTGGCTGCCGATTTAACCTCTTCCGAGTGAGATGAGAACGAATTTAAAATCGTGTGTTTCAATGAATTAATTCCACTTAAATCTCTGTGGGAATATTATTTTGAAGGTAAATCTCTTTCTCTTATAATATAGTTTGTTAGAAATAAGTTACAATCTTCTTACACATGTCTTCCTATTTCTCCAATAACCAACAAAGCAAATATGTGTTGTGCAACATTCTGAATGTCTGATGGATTCTGAACGTCTTTTAGCAATTGTTGTACAATACACTGTGCTTCGTCATGCCATGGGATTGTCAGGGCGGCTGCACATTTGGCCAATGAGTGATAAGCCTGCTTATGAAGTAGCGATGAAGTAACTGGGACGATTAACATTGAGAGAAGATCTCTGTATCCCAGTTCCGGTAGATTTGCTTGAACTAAGGCTTGGAAAAACTCAAGCATTGAATTTAATGCGACACCTATTTGACGAAAATTCAATTCGAGTTGTATAAGTTTAGTGAAACTTTTAATTTATTTAATATTAAAATGAAGCATTTTACCTTGAAGAAGTGGTGATTTTACTAGGATGAGTATTTCTGGCAAGATATGTTCAGAAACTCTAGTTAGAGCAGTCGGATGTAACTTTGCTATGGTAGTGAGAAGATTTAGCGTTAACTGTGCAATGTGCAGATCTGATTCGTTTAGTAATGCAGGTAACTCCGTAGTAACCTGCAAATAAAATTTGAAATTAATGATTTTCTTTAATCATGATTTCTTCAATTCATTTATTTATTTACTGTATATGTATATACATATGGTAAATAATATTTCATTACCTTATCAAGTAAATCCGGGTGCAGAGCCGAGCTATAATTGCATACCAATGTATCCAGAAGAGGAAGAGAAGAGAGTTTCAAAGCTCGCTGATTTTTCCTTAAGAAAGATCCAAGAATGGGTATTGCTTCTTCCTACAAAATGCAGTAGCAGTGAAAAAAAAAGTGCACGATTTCTCAATTCTATATTTGTTATTTTATACATTTACCATAATTGGTTTTAGATCAACTCTCAGAGGAGATGCAGCTATGCAAGTTAGAGCCTTAACAGTGGTAAGTCTTGTTATTTCGTTGCGCAATCTATCCAGGAAAATGGGTAGGCATACATGTAATTTGTCTGATAGAGTATCCCCAAAGTGTGCAAGGATCTGTCCCATACAGGAGATTGCTCTTTCCTTTACCTCTTGATCGATATCCGCCGTTTTGAGCCTCATTAAGGTACAGTGATATATTTCATTTGACAACGAGGTGAAACCGCGATAGAATGGTTTATCTGTAAGCGTTAATCCATCATAAATATCATTTTAATATTCGCGATTACAAATAAAAATTGCATTGTAAAATGGCTCACCATGAGGTCTGATAACTTGTACAAGCTGCTGTAATACGAGTAACGCTTCAGCAGCAATTTTGTAGAATGAATCTCCCACGGCTAGTATAATCGGAGGTGCCAACACGGGCATGTGAACGTGGAACGCTTCGGGTTGATGCGTCACTAGTAGTGTGTGCACAAAGGCTAAAGTATCGATCTTCATATTCGAGGAGGAATTCTTATCTCCCAGGGAATACTGTATACCGGGGATTAGTGCTGGAATATGATTAGTTAAAGCTCCAGGCAAAACGAGCACTAATTCCTTTAACAAAGAGAAGCAATCCTGTCTCGTTTTGATGCTCTTTTCCTTCATTTGACGATGAACTGCCTTCACTATTAATGGTACTTGTTGTTGTAACAACGAAATGGGCCCATCGTCGTCTTCCATCGCGTCAGGATCGAGCGCGACCCCGGTAGTTGGCCTTGTTTGCCTTAATAAAGCAATATATGCGTGGAAGATGTCTGACTTGACATTTTCTTCTCTTTCTAAAATTACATTATAATGAATTTCATTAATTTAAGTAATAAACAAAAGATTACAACGAATTTCATTAATACTGGATAATAAATAAGATTTGTTGATTAAGAAATTATTATAGATACTTTCTTTACATCTTCTCTATTCTTTACAAATTTTAGAATCTAATATGCACGATACTTGCCTTTAAACCTGGCAATTAATGCAGGAGAAACGCCTTTATAAAGATCTGACAATAATTCTCTTCTGCTGGATACAACCGCCTCTAGACATTTTGCAGCTGCTCTACGAACTTTCCAACTCATGTCGTCATCGTCAGAATATTCGTCCTCTGCATCTTCGTCTCCATCTTCTTCTACCTCCATTGCGACACCTTCTCCATCAGAAAAATCGTTGACATCATCATCATAATTGTAGTTTGGATCGTATGTAATATATATTAGGCAGATCTCTATAATCTAAAATTGAAGATTTCATTGAATAATATATAAATATATAAATACTTGTACAATACATAAAATGATTTCAAATTATGTACCTTATTTATGTGCGGTGTAATTTCTTTCGGACATCTATAAACAAAAGATTCAAATGCCTGCAAACAATACTCCCTCAATTCATCATCATCCTCGTTACTATACTGAACGATCAATGGCATAACGCGTTCTATTTGCTCGCCGAATCTGTGACCTGCCTGTCGGCTGCAATAAATTTAGACAAGTCAATGGTAATTTATTCTCTTCATCAATTATTCACATACAATCGTCTACTAACCAGATAGAAGCAATACACTGGATATAGGTACGTATGACATTCTTTGCTGTTTGAGTTTGAAGACCTTCAAGAAGATGATCTAGCAATTTGTTGTATAAATAATTGTTGCTGGATGTTAACAGATGACTCAGCGCTACTATAGTGCGTTTACGGACCGCTTGTCGCGGCGAGGAGAGTTGCGGTAACAGCGCAGCCAAAATTGTAGGATGAAACGAGACTAGCAAAGCGCCAAATCGAGATAATAAATCGGCTACAATGTCAAGAGCTTCTAATTGTACGGATACATCTTCTTGCTGAAAATGCATTACATATATCATACATATATATTATCAATCAGAAATATTAAATTTTGCAGTGAAAAGTCAGACAAAAATCATTTACCTTTTCAATAGCACTGCTTAATTTATTTGTAACGCGTCTACAAACATTTGCAACTAATGCACTAGAACCCACAGGAAGCTCGGAAATAACAGTCTTCAAGCCAATGCTGGAGATATCGCGTAGCTGCTCCTTGTCCGAGACCATATTGGTACATAAAGCGTCCACAATAGTTTCCACCTGGTAGTCTTTTACTTTATTGACTAACGGGCCCAAACTAAAATTGTACACATTTTACAATTGTAAAATTAGATAAAGAATTCCTTGAAGCAAGATAAAAATGTGTTACTCTGTATGCTTTGATCTTTTCTTCTCTTTCTTATTTCATATATATTAATAATTTATAACTTGCTGTTATTAGATATAAATGAAATATAAAAGATAGAAAATTAATGCATCGCTTCTTTACTTTGAAACTGACACAATTAAAAAAAAAACTGTAATTTTCGAGTTATTGCTATGAATTAATTAAATGTTAGCCTATCAATCATTAAAAGTTAAACTAAAAAAATTATTAAAATCAACTTGGAAAGAATGATTTTAAAAAATCATCAAACCATCAATTCAAAAAAGATTTTCTAATAGTTGTAAAAAAATAAAAATGGCAATGTCATTTTATTATATTATAAATACACTACTATTTTTGCCAATATTATCTGAATGGCCAACAATTTTCTGTA